AGTCCTGAAGGAAGTCGAACTTTCTCTCCAGTCTATGTGTCCCTCGTGGAGGGAAGTTCCTATCGGCCAATTGCAGTTAGTTTGGGTGGTTCTTCAAAAACTGTCCTTTTCTAAGGTAACGATGACTTCACTACTGATTAACTTAACAAATTAACTGAGTTTTTTAGGAACCGTCCCAAATTTCTCCCTCGATGCTACAAAACAGCAGAACTCCGCTGCGTGTTTAAATTTCTCAAAAATAGAAGAAATCACGTCCACATCGTAAATTCAGACTAGTGTCAACCCCTATAATTAAACACTCAGAAAGGCAATATAGAATAGGTGTAATATTAATATTGTTTCGTTCGAACAATTTTTGTATTAAAAAATAAGGAATTAAACAGGTAAATGAAATAAAATAAAATAATTATTGCATATTATATTAAATACTGTTAACTTTGAAATTATCGAGTCTGGTCACTCGGCGACCAAGTCACCGACAACTGATTGACTATACGTAACGGTTCTTATTGTTAGTCTGTGACAGTAGAATCAAAGAGTTCCCTCCAAAAGAAATAAAAACTCCGATCATTATTTTTAACGTTCCATCGTAAACGAAATACTTTCTCATTAATTAGAAAGTAACTCGAGTTTGTAAACTATTAAAGCTTAAGTTCAACGCGCAAAATTCAATCTAAATTGAATATCATCTTACATAGACCAACCTTACTATTCTGTATAATGTTAAATTAAAACTACCAGAGCAAACAATTTGTAACAGTGTGATGGAACTAACAATACAAAAATTCAAGTCCATCACAACAATTTGTTAGTGTCGTTTTCGAACGCAAACTGAACACGCTACACATTACAAACAAATTACAAAACCACAGTCTGTCCAACGAGAAGTAAGCATAAAGAAACATGTGCGATAGTTAACTTATAATTAGATGCGACTGATTGTGAGGCAACCGTATGTTTCAGTCAATCACTATGCTTAGCTCGTGAATGTTTTGTTTACGTCTACTACCTCGTCTCGTTGAACAGACTATGGAACCATTATGTTCCATTATTCTTTGGATTATAGTACACTCACCGCGATACGTGCGAAATGATAAAATCCGTGAAGAAAATCTTGTAAAACTTAATCCATTAATTAAGTAGAGAAAACAATCTGCCTAATTGGCAAATACAACACGGTATGACTTGACTAAGGAGCTATATTCGTAGTCAGTCAACCTACTCAGAAGCCTACACGGAGAACAGCTCAGTGACGTCTCTTCCTAATAACTGAACTATGCGCAACAGCTATACTAAATACTTCTGTAGATACTTTCTAATGAGGAAACGTCTAAGTGTTATGCTAACTAACTTAATCCTGATATAACGATTTATCGAATGCCCATACAGGACGAATCGTAAAGCTCCACGGCAATAATAATGAGAAGGTTATAGACTGGCTACGCGTATCGTTTTTACGGAGTATCCCAGGTTTCTCCGGCAAATGCCTTAGCAAATACTTGAGTAAAAACTTATAATAAAAGTAGGAAGTCATCTGTTCTCGCAAATTATGTTTGCTAGTTTAAACTGTTGTGTTCACTGACTTTGACAAAGAAAGGTTTACCAAATAAAAATTGAATATAAACAATTCATAATGCATACAAATTGATATAAACGATAGATAAATTTATTTTTAACACACTGAGCGCCGGCCC